CATAATAAGCAGCTCTAGGGAAAGAAATGTTGAGAATTCAATATTTAGCCCAGAAACTGTCAAAACTCTAGATAATGTATACAGATACTGACTCATAATTCCCAACTTCTGGCACTCCTTTAGGATCATGGCAATATCAACACCATGGATGATATATTTCTCAGGCTTTAAACCAAATGTGAGTTTTATACATTTAACAGGCAGCAACAAAACAAGAGGTTGATGCATACCAATGTTTCTGATAAATTGGGCTCTTGCTGTATATAACATTCACGATTGACTTCATCTATGACTTCGTTGATTATTTCCTGTCGCTGAACCTTTCCTGGCAATCCATCCTCTTCTTCGTTTTCAGAATGCTCAAGAGAATGCTTGAGGGATAGAGATTCCATATCATTGACAACTTCTTTGCACCACTTTCCAATTTCTGTGTCAACTATTGTGGCAACACTTTGCTGATATTTATTAACACTTGATTTCTAGTGAAGAATAAAATAAAATAAGACAATGAAAATAACAAGTTTATTCGTAATTGACAAACTTAAAACTTAACAATCTGACAATAAACAATAGATCACTCACAAACTGAGTTTTGCACTGGTCATTCCATTCCTCATGAATGTGCTTAAGGTGATTCTTTTTCCATTCCTCAAAAAAAAAAAAGTATCATTAATATTTTGTGTTAAAATACAAAATAATAAATTATGCAGACCAGTCTTAAGTGGCTATGAAATGCAAGTGGAGTGGTTTAGGTTTGAGCAACCTGCAGTCCCCAAACTTCCAAACTTGAGCAACCTGCAGTCCCCAAGTTTGCCACCATACCAGGGTCATACAGGCAACCTGCAGTCCCCATATGCCGCAAGGATGTGACCTGCAGCCCTTCCTCGCCTTCAGATACATTCCCTTCTAGAGGTTATCCCTTGCAAGCCAAAGCCTTGTAAGATGAAATTGACTCACCTGCCAATTGTCTCTGATTCCTTTCAAACTGTCTATAATATCCTTGCTGAAGAATTTCGAAGCAATAGCTTGCTCTAAATCCTTGACGATAACGCTGCATATTTGGAAGGGTTTGTGAGTTGGATTTTCCTGTCGATAGTAGGTCATCAGCGGTTATAGAGCTGACATTGAATGTGGCATCTCGTCGAGTTAAGAATCGGAAAGGCTTGTTTCAAAGAAGGATATTTTGTTCACCACTGGAATCAAAGAGATTAGTAATTAGTAAGTTTCAGTTGCTGGATGAAACACTCCAATATTTCTTACTAGTGTTTAGACCGCGACATGTGTTCGAGAAAAAAATTTTTTACGCGTATGTACATATATAGCAAACACAATGACACGTGGCTTAGCGACATGACGTCAAGTTCTGGTTTTGTTGCAGTCTGCCCCATATGCCTCAGTTTGAGTTATAGAATGAGATAACTGAGTTCTAGACTGAGATGGTCCCGAACTGAGGTCCAACATAATCAATATTTAGTTTAGTTTACTTGGGTTATCTGGATTTCATATGGGCATACTGCAATAAACCAAATAAAGTGGGTATTTTATCATGTGACATAGATGAGAGACTGGTTAAATATAAAGACTAATTGACTAATAACATTTGATTACTCATTATTGTCAAGATTTACGATAAACACGACGTATTCCTCCGTGATTTCCGACGAGTTACACCAACATTTCCAGCCGCGGCTCAATATTTGTAGGACCAAATAATGAAAACAGATTTCGATATATCGGGTCAGATTTCACCTGATGCGGACGGATTTGTTTCTTTTAATTTAATCCTCATGTATTTATTAGCTTTAGAATATAGAACAGCGCAGTAAGC